GGCGGTACTGCTGTATCCATTTGGATAAATGGTTGAGGCAGGTGCTAACCTTTGCAAATTCTCTTTCACCAGGATTTCAGAAAATTCAATGTGGTCTTGAACTGCTGGTCTCAGATCAGATAGTATGTTCTGATTTTTAGCATCGGGGATGCTCCCTGACTAAAAACAAACTAAGAGGAGAGTGGGGCATGGAATCACTATTACTTAGTTACTCACCATACGTAGGACATCATGCCAGTGATTTTACATACGTTAGTTCATTTTATTCTCACAACAAAGTCGTGAGGCAGACTATTATGTCTATTTCATAGATGAGAGAGCTAAGAGAGAATTCAGTATCTGTCCCAGGTCATATAACAAGTGAGTGGCATGACCAGGACGTGTCCCAAATTCCCTGTGGAACAACCCCCACCCCCCACCCCTTACAGCACTAGGCTGCTGCCTCCCTCACCAAGTGGGCGTTTTATTCTCAAGGTCATGTTCTTGTACATTATGAGCTCACACGCCTATTTTATTGTCTTCGCATCTTTGATGCTTGGTTCTTTTGTTACCCTGAACGTGGTATGGAATGTTTTCTACAGCATATTTATTCTTTTAAAGTTTGGGCCCCATGGAAGTACAGAATCTAATAAAATTTAGTGCCAGCCTGTGAGTGCCCCAGAGCATCACACAGGCCTGCTGTGATGGCGTGTCCCTCTCCAGGACCCACCTGAAAAGCCCCACCCAGTCCTTCACAGCGGGGGCCATTGGCCGACGGCCAGGAACTGAGCCTGAGCTGGTTGGACTATGAGGGGAATTTCCATAATCCTCAGTCTGAAACTTCTTCATTTCCTGCTCAAGGATTTCTCATTTTCTTAGGCAAAAACAAAACAAGGGAGGAAGCAGTTGGGGCAGGTGGGAGCGGTGCAGGACACCCAGCTTGGCACTTTGTGTTTTGAACAGCCGGGCTACGTGCTCTGCCCCGCTGGGGACCGAACACTGGATGGGCCGGCCGGAGTGCCCGCTCAGGACGACGTCACGGAAAAGCAGGCTTCCGAAGCACTCGGAAGTCTATCCTGGAAAAAAACTGTATTTGGTTCCATTCCAGCATCTCTTGCCACGACCAAGGAGACTTTAGGAGTAAAGGGCTGTCCGAGGACGAGAAACCAGGGCCACCACCGAGGATGCGTGCAGCCAGGAGAAGCATCACTGAGGACATTCGGCAGGCCCTAACTTAGCTGAGTAGAAACGTAACGGTGGCGGTGTATTTAGGTCCCAAGGTCAAAGTGGAAAATGCATGTCCTGGGGACACTGAAGATGCTTCCAGAACCTTCCCTCTAGGACCTGCTGGACACTCCAAAGACACAGAAGCTCAGTCTACAACCAGAGAGCAATCCATCTACCAGTCCCCTAAAAACCAGTGACAGTCTCTATTGGATGCCCTGTCATTTGTCTCTGTCACCAGTGAACTTTGGAAGAAAATGTTGATCCAATTTTACGGCTGGGCGAGGCCTCCGTGATTGATGTCACCCACCCCTTCATTTTCCCGATGGAGCGTCTCAGACACAGACAGATGCAGGGAATCCAAGTCTTCAACTCTTCTGACATGGTGCAGCGTGGTGACAGAAAACCCACTCTGGATGGATGAGGACGGCGCTGTGTCTGCTCATCCCACCTCGCTGTCCCCAGCATACCTGGCTCTGTCAGAGCTCATGTCCCAGCGTGAGATCTGGGACACCGTGACCACCTTATGGCTCAGAAAGGAACAGTCGGAAACATGAAATGTTCAGAAAACCTGGCTTTTGCACCCACACCGGGTTATACAAGCTGAGAAACGAAGAGAATAGAAACATGGTCTACTCCTTTTCCCCCTCATTTTCTAGTTTTTATGGAAACGTGTGTTCAGGGAGGGAAACTGCGAGCATGCGGGGGTCCCCACTTGAGCTACTGACAAAGGTAACAATAGGAAGAAATCCAGGTAGTTGAGAAGAAAAAGAAGTCCATGGATGCGGAACAAAGTGAATTTTAGAATTTAGCAGGTCACACAGAATTTGCACAAATGTAGCAGCTTAAGGATGCTCTTTGAAAAACTGATTTCAGTGTATTAGTCCTGTGTAGCTCCGCTGGCAGCAGTGGAGGCAGGAGGATAAGAAGGTTTTTTGGCGGGTAGATGCTGGGGTGGGGGAGGGGGAGGAGCCAGGGCTGCTCTGAGGAGGGGTCTGTGAGGGAGAAGGGATGCCCTGCGCCCCCCACCCACCGCCCCCAGAAGGACAGAGCCCCTCCCAGCCGCCCTGGGCTCAGACAGCAGCTAGGGAAGCAGAGGGTGAAGAAAATGGGCAGAAGACCTCAGGAGCCCCCTTACTGTAAAGAAATTAAAATCCCTGGTGAACTCAGGAGACTTGACAGAGAAGAAAAGAGTGAGCCTCGGTGTCAGAGGCGTCAGGCGTAGCTCTGTTTGCTCTGAAAGCAGAAATATGCAAACACAAAGGAGGCTGCCTTCCTCCTCCTCACTCTTCCTTCCTTCATAGGCACCTGGCTCTGCAAACATCTGGGTCCTAAAGGACATCAAATATTGGTTAACAACCTGGGTGGCCCAGAAATGTTTACACAAGTCACCTGAAAAACTCTTTCATTCTAAAAGCATTGTGAGGAGGGAGGGGTACAGCTCAGTGGCACAGCGCATGCCTAGCAAGCTTGAGGTCTTGGGTTCAACCCTCAGTACCTCCATTGAAAAAAATAAATCAAAAACCTAATTTCCCCTCCCTGCCACAACAAAAATTATAATTAAAAATAAAAGCATTGTGAGTCTAATATTCCTCAGAGAAAATAATCAGCATCTCTGGATGTTTTCTTAGCTAAATAATAAAACATCACTTGTTCCTTAAATGTAAGCAGTGATCTGGGGACGTTTTTATGTGCCATTGGCACATTTTTTTAAGGTACAGACACTGTAAGAGACAAACGTGTTTATTAGTAGTAAGGAAAGATCCTTACTCATAGCACTCACTTCCTTTTCTCCACTCGCACGATAAAAAGGGTGTGTGTTCACAGAGGCTATTCAGGCACTGGGCTTGCTT